GACACTGATCGCAAAGTTTGACGTGCTCGTGCCCGGAGATATAAAATTATATTTTTAGCTTCAAAAAATCTATGTTATTTCCCTTTAACTATTAATGACATATTATTATGTGATGATTTATCAAATAAGGACTTATGGACACAGATGACCGATTGGTCATTGTGACTTTTTCTGAGATAACTCAGATCACAACGGAATCCTGGAGCGGCCTGTAACTGGACCTAAACGCGCCGAGTCAGCTTTTCGGGGGTGTCGTTCGGACAAAATGAGGGGAGTAGTATAGTCTTAAATTGTTTACCCAAGTTAGTCTGACTGGCGCGTCTTTCTTTTCAAAACTACTCGGCGTGCGTGCCCTTTTGATCTGGTTCCGAACCGTTGAACCTTCGTCCAAATGGACGAAAATAGTCGAACCTTCAACGAGTCCGACTATTCTCGTCAGAGTCCGACTATTCTCGTTGGAGTCCGACTATTCTCGTCGGAGTCCGACTATTCTTCGTCGAAATGGACGAAATGGAAGAAACTGATTTCAGAGCTCGCAAGAATCTTGCGTGACGAAAACTTCAAATTTGCATTATCGGGCTGGTAGTGGCAAGCTGGTCCAAGGAGGATGACATGCAAAAACGGCAAAAAACTGTACGCTAGAAAACAAGAAACGGTAACTAAATAGAAAAGGGCAGGTTCTATCTCTCCACAGCAATATGCCGAAGTTGCCAGAGATGTTTACAGACATGTTGCATACTTTCAGAAATTCAAACGTCAACAACGAATTGTACTACCGGTAACAGATGAGTGATAGATTTAGGATTCATCCGATCAAGAGGTTTAAAAAATAATCTGCCTTATTCCTAATGCGACCATGTTTTGTCGGGTCCGACAAAGTTTCGTCGGGTTCGACGAAGTTTCGTCGGGTCCGACGAAGTTTCGTCGGTTCCGACGAAGTTTCTTTGGTCCGACGAAGTGTCCGACGAAGTTCATCCATTTCAACGGAACGTCCACGAATGAAATGAATCATTAGGCAGGCTCGTTTTCAGCGAAGCCCAAGCTCTGCATTGCGCAGAATCTGTCACCGGCACGTCAGTTTCCGTCATCCTTGCCAGGCGGTTGCCCCAAGATCAGTCTCTCAGCGAGCGTCAGAAGTTTTCTTGCACCTCTTCGTACATTTTGTACCACAATCGCCAAAACTTTTTTGATGCAAAATACAAAATTCACGGAGACTGATCTCGGGACTACCGCAGGGAATATCTATGACATATCTGAGGACATTCCCAGCAAGTCTGCCATTTCAGGCCGCTCCTGAGTTATAACTCACGGCGTTGAGTTATAACTCAAACGTGTGAGTACGTGTGAGTTATAACTCAAACGTGTGAGTTATAACTCAAACGTGTGAGTTATAACTCAAACGTGTGAGTTATAACTCAAACGTGTGAGTTATACTCAAACGTACTCAGAAAATGTCAGGGGGATGATGTTCTCCAATGGGGGAAGGGCAGCTTCAAGCGATCCACGAATGAAAAATCATCCGATGCAACACTGACTCCAAAGAAAACCACGAGGATATAAGTAACGTGCTCGGCTTCTCCATGAAACTTTTAAAATCGTCGATTGAAGTACTTTTTATTATTTTGGACGACACCACGTTCAAATATTCGAGAGACAAAGATTAAAAATGTGTCCTTGCAGTTGTTGGAACAGTCCAATTCCAAATGAATAACGGTCACCCTCTCTTTGATATAGGATAATTTACCACATATCTAATACAATTTTATTACTACTTGTCCTCAGACATCGGCGATTCTTCCTCCTGCTTCTTTGTTTCCTCCTCCTTTTCGGCCATTGCTACTTTCATACGTTGTTCATAGAGCAACAAGTTTTCTTTCTTTTCTCTTTCTTTTCTTCCTTCTTCAACTTCGCCAGCTTGTTCATTCTTTTATCCTCGTCCAGATAGTTGCGGTACTTTTGAAACTCCGATGCTTTGAGGCCAACATGATTTTTTTCTGTTTTGCCCTCGTCAAATAACTTGAGCTCGCCACGTGCGTTATGGGTGGTTGTTGGGTGCTTGGCCAGGTCATCAGCCAAAATCAAATCTTCATCCTGTAACGATTTGTCTCTTGCCTTGTCGTGAGCGTTGCGCAAGGACGTCCATGGCGATGTCAGAATTTTTCGTAGAAATAACAGGTTGAGTGTATTTTTTTTTTCATTAGCAGAATCAAGCACAACAAACGCAACAGCACGAGTGTCGTTCACCACGGCATCGTTTGGCCCTCCCTTGGCTTGAAGTTCCGTTGCCAGCTGCGTTTCCGTGTTTGCTGACATGTCAACTTCCCGTTCATCCAGCAAATCAACGTATTCTTTCCAACCAAAACCCTTTCTTCTGACCTTGTTGGTGAGGAAGCGGCTGAAAGCCTCTCTCCTTTCACCTCCTG